CTAATATTTATGATGTTAGCACCAGAGCTAATATTTATGATGTTAGCCCCAGAGCTAATACTTATGATGTTAGCCCCAGAGCCAATATTTATGATGTTAGCACCAGAGCTAATATTTATGTTGGTAGCTCCAGAGCTAACAGTATTCAATCCAGGGCTAATACATGTGACATTTGCTTCAGAGCCAATATAAATTTTTAGCGGTTGTTCCAGAGCTAATAAATAAAAAAATACCAGTTGATTAAGAATGATTGTCGAGACACATATTGTGCATGAGGACTAATACAAAATATAATATTTTTAGCATGGACTGTGTTTTAGTCTCCCCTACAACCGATGTACATCAATGCCCCAGAATGCATTGCACTGGTAAATTATTGGTGAAGTCCTTAGGTTAAAAAATGTTATATATATATTTTTTGTAAGTAATTGAGATTTCACGTCACAAACAACAACTTTTAGAAGAATAGAGAAATACCATATTCAGGCCAACACGTGCAAGTAATCAGAGATGTCTTTAAAAGAACTAAGTTATCATGATCCCTTCTCTGTTTTCCTCCCATCATTGTGCCCGATCGAAGTGTTGAATTCTCGTCTGCAGTTGAGCAGCAGAAGATCTAATTGAGTTACCTCAGGGCCTGGATTATGAATCATTAACAGGGTGGTGTGTCATCATTGACCCCTTTACATACACACACATACAAACACACACAGCCTCTGTGGCCGACGGGAGGTCTTGCCGACAGATGACAGCTCAGACAGGAAATGTCTGATTGGGTTACGCTGAACAAACACTGGCAGCTACCTGACGGCTGGATACGGCTTACATCTGTTTCCCACATCAGCCTGTATCACCTCACTTAACTCCGCACTCCGTCTCTCACTCGTTTTTCCCCCCTCGTGTTTACTTGCCCCGACTGAGGCTCTCCATCTCAAATCTCAGAGTAAACACATTTAACACCTGACATATTTTCACAGCCACTTGTGCAACTTCTGCCAAGTTGCTATCAAACCAATAACATTATTCCAAAGTTAAATATGTTACCTTTTGGTTTATTAATTAAAAAATAAAACCAGCTTTATAAGTAAAGTACACATACATGTAATTTAATAAGCAAAAAATGCTAGCTTGGTACAAAAAAAAAAAAAGTGTTTTTTTATAACTTACCGTTGGCCCTTGTGGCCCCTCAGGCCCCTATAAATGATAAGAAAGATAAAACGAGATTTATTAGAAGAGAAATACAGCAGAAAAAAGTATGTCAGATGAAATAATACAGTTTCCAGAGCCAACAGAGGGACTGGCAAACTCATGGGAGGATTTTATGCAGCGAGCTCACACCCTTCAGGCAAAAACTACGGATCACAATCAATCCCTTGTTCCAAGACTGGGTCTGAGCCGTCGTTTCATGGAGCTGAGCCATAAATATGAATCTCTAATGAGAGCACGAATAACCAAGACTCTTACGGTTTGATCTTTTACCGCAATCTCTGTAATTGTTTCAGCAGCGGTGAAATCAGGCTCTGTTTGGCTGCAACGAGCATTTGATCCAACACACGGGGGTCACCGCCTCAACGGGTCGACATTCGGAACGTTTTAGCGAGGGTAGAGGAGGCGCCACTACTTTGAGTTAATTCAGTGATGAAGTGGGAGGACGGTTTATACAACATCTGACCTTCTGTTTACTACAGTTAAAGCTGAAGCCATGTTGGATTATTAACCTAAAAGGTTTCAAAAGAACTTCTAGCAAATGGCTCAAGCAAGGCTAGGACCAAAATGAATTGTTGACTTAAAATGACTCCAATAAATAAAAAATAAAGAACAACACAAATGTTGCTTTATAAATGATTACATCAATATTAATTTAACTTTCCATGGTTATTCACTATAGTAGCTGTACAATACTAGGAAAATATGAGATTGCGATATTGTCGAGAATCGTGATAACAATAATAGTTGTGATAAACTCAAGTTCAGAGATTCCAATGTTCACATATGAGGGCGTTTAGTGAAGTTGGGCCAAATTAATATCTTTAGCGCTCAGTTTGTGTTTGCACTTTATGGCGTTGTTGACACATTAATATTTTGTTATTAAAAAATGTCCACTTCACTGTGCACCCCTATTAGTTACAACTAACAATTGCAGCTAGCTGTAGGACTTCCTTTTCAGCCTGGGGGACGTCTAGCTATTTCTGCTGGAGTAAACGTAAAATGACAAATCGACAGAGATTTGAACCACAATTATTATTTTATGGTTATAGTGGCTTTAAGATAGAAGCATCACTGACATAGTACTAAGAAACTGACACATAATACAGACACGCTAGCTACAAAAGGCAGCACTCTGCTTTCCTCACACTGAGCCATCTAACCCAAGCCCCCCCACTCAAAAACTGTCAGCACAAAAAGCTCACAACACAGACGTGTCTCAGTTCCAAGGCAAGTAATGTAAGGGAAACACTGAGGTATTTAACTTAATAAATAAACTAATCAAAGGAATCACAAATGAGCGCGAAACAGAAACTGATTTGCTCAATCATTATTAAGACTTTTGGTGATTTGGACAGTTTCGTAATACAGCTCTCTTTTCCAGAGAGTCACAGCAACAACATTTCTGAGGCAAAAGACAAAACCTGACATCCTTTACAGAAGAGCGTGTTTTCGTGACTCTGGTAAATATTCTGACTCCAAGCAAGTTTTTCTGGGACTCTTGGGCTTTTAGCCTTGCTTTGTATACAATGCATAAATTCATGCAATTTTTATGAAATCTCCAAAGATCTGATAGCAATCAAGAGTGTCAGAATTTGTGTTTTTTGGTTACTCTCTTTTGTAGTCCTTTCCGTTCATTGTTAGATTTAATCTTTTCTGGTTATTATGTTTATTTTCTTTATTTTCAGTTCTGTTATCTGTGCTTTCATTGATTAGTCTTTGTGTGTTCCTCTGTGGCACACTTCTCCCTCCGTCAGTCCCATCACCCTGCCACACTCATCTTCACCTGTTTCCTGTTCCATCAGTCACAGCTGCAGACACTCCACTCATCAGCCCCAGTCCTTAAAGTCCCTCAGCTCCACCCCGCTCATCACTTTGCCATTGTTTGTGCTTCATGGCTGGTTTTACCCTCCTGTCTCCTTGTGTCTCCACCTGAGTACCTGGAGGTTTTGCTGCCACAACAGCTCATGTTTTACTTTGGTTATTTTAATAAGACCTTTGTTTATTTATGCTCCTCATATGTCTGCATTCCTGGGTCTGTATCCCTACGATCAGTGACAGAATGTGTTCAGGGTGACTCTCAGCTACTATTAGACCAGATTTGAGCTCTTTATCGGTAAAGCTGAATGAGTTAAAGGGCCCATAGCTGGCCATCTTGAATTAGGTTAACTCTAAATATTGTTTTATATGCACAGCTAATGATAATTCTTCAAGCTTCAATAAAATATATCCAGTGGTTCAAGAGGTAACTGAGCTTCTCCAAAAATTGAGGCTGTTCCAAGAGCAATTTACTACAGGAAAGATATTAAGTGTTCATAATCTCTCCACAGAACCCCATTCCCAAAAATCTGAGATACCATTTTAACACCTCAACAATTGGCAGGTATCCTCTGCTGGGTTGATTTGTATTTAATTTGACCTCAGAATTTACAGTAAAATGTCGCTTTGGGCTGTTTAGTTGCAGTTGGGTTGAAGCCAAGCAAAGCGCTTGCTCCACAAACCTTCACCAACAGCAAGTGTTCTGCTTTTGTTCACATTGAAGCATATATAACTGTCAAAAAAGACACGGCCCCGTGTAGAGTGCAACGCAGTGAGGTAATATTGAAGTTGAAAAGTTTGACTGTCAGTGCAAATTTCTGTGCAAATGAAGCAACGTTTGGCAGCGCCAAGCCATGACTTAATAACCATTGGTTTTCTGGGAAGGAGCCCTTTGTTGGGTTGGGTCTTGTTAGGTTTGTGTTGAGACAAAGAGACAATCACGGAACTAAATTCCATTTCAGATTTCCCATTATACTTCTTTAGCAAAGAGTTCTCACATATACAAACACACACGCGGCTCATTTATTGGGCATTCCATCTGCACATTTAATAAAAATCTCAATAAAGAGTTTAATTCGCCCAAGCAGCCAAGAGAAAGGGTTTTTTCCCCCGCTTGCCTTCAAAGGTCTTTGTTTGCTAACCTCAGCAGGGTTCAGTAAACATCTTTATGACCCACTAAGAATGTGGGAGCATGTGCCACTCGCCAGAGTGCTAATTAACTTGGCAAAATCTGAAAGAACTCAGGAGCTACTTTGCAGAAAAGGAGTTTTGTTTGTTTTTTTTCTCCAAGAGAGTCAAGAGCCCTCGAGGAAGTCCGGGCTCTATTGTTCTCTGAAACACGAGAAAACGAACAGCAGAGAATAATTTAAAAATCTTTGTGTACAAATGCAGGCTAAAGTGAGCTTTGAGGGAAAGAATATCAGAAAATCGAACCTTATCTGCTTCTGTAAACAGTCAAGTCTAGTTAAAAATACTAACAGTAATGTAGAATATCAACAGGATGTCCAATAAAGTCGAGCGTCCGAGTTAAAACAGAAAGCTCCGAATGGTGCGTGTTTTCTTACAACAATGAGGCGAGCGCCGAGCCCATTCCCACACGCAGACGGCAGCACTTCAGCTCCTGAAGGAATTTTCGAGCGTGCGGCTCTCGCTCTGCATTTACAGGAAGACTAATTTGGCCTGATCAAAGCTCCGTATTTTAGAGCTCCGGGGTGCAGGTTGGAGTGTTTGCTCAAAGCTTTTGTTTAACTTATGAGCTCTGTAACATAAATTTGTTTCACTTCAACTTGCACTGCTGTCAGTTTGAAAAGAAAATGTATCATTTTGACAGACAGACGTTTTCTTTCGCACCTAGAGGTTAACATAATACTGATGACAAGAGTTACTGCAGAAGTGTAAGCATAATGTTTCACAACTATGGCCTTTTTAATAATCATTTCATAATTGTTGTCATCATTCTTTGTTGAAATCAGGTCTCTCTTGTGCGTGAGTCCTCGAGGCTCAATGGGATTTACCTGTCTAAATAAAGGTTGAATGAATGAAAAAACATTTACCAGTATGAACAAAACAGAAGCTACTGATCAAGAAAGCACATCAGTCATCCTACAGCCAATGTTTAATTAAATCTATACTTTGTTGGTTTATTACTCCCCGAGTCATCCCTTAATGATTCAGAAGTTGAGAAATAAAAGGTTTTGGTAAAAAGCTCAAGGATTATGTTCCAGGATTCAATCCTGTTATTTCAAAAATATTCAAGGTCAAAGTCAGTACAAACAGACTGAAACTTCTTAAACTTCTTAAATTAAGCTTAAACAGAAAAAAAAAAAACAATGATTGCACTACAGTTAGTTCTTTACCAAGTAAACAGCAAAAATCCACGAGTTAAAACCAACACTTTTTTCTTCTTTTGGCTGCTCCCTTCTTCAGGGGTCGCCACAGTGACCACGAAGACTTTATGCCAGACGCCCTTCCTGACACAACCACAGACCGAGCTACCACAGCCCTCTGTGTGGAGCAGAGAGCTGCTATCTAGGGTGCCCAGGGGAGCAGATGGTGGGGGTTAAGGGCCTTGCTTAAGGGCAGTGTGGAACAAATGAGGGTGGAGGCAGATGTGGGTGTTTTACCTTTCCCACCCACATATATTTTTTATGTTGTCGGTACGGGGAGCCGCACCGGCGACCTTCCAATCACAGGCCCACCTTCTCTAACCTCTGCACCACCACTGGTTTTCTTTCTGGGCTGCTGTGGTGTAGAGGTAGAGCAGCCAACTTGGGACCAGAAAGTCACAGGTTCAACTCAGCACCATATTCATGTCGTGGTGTCCTTGAGCAAGACACTTAATCCCCAACTGCTCCCAGGGCGTTTACGTAGCTGCCTGCTACTCCACCTGGGTGTATCTCATGTGTGATGGGTTAAATGCAGACTAGTTTTGTCATTATATAGAAATAGACAATGATGACAACACATAGCTCACACTTATGGGGCGGTTGTGGCTGAGTGATTAGAGCAGTTGTCCTCCAATGCTAGAGTTGGGAGTTGGATTCCACCAGCAGTCACAAGCTGAAGCGTCTCAGGGCAAGACACTGAACCACTCATTGCCTCAGATGTGTGTCCCATCGGTGTTTGAACGTGATAAAAGCACTCATTAGCCTTTGTACAGATATATTAGA